CCCCAATATCTTTTTCTAAAAAAAAAAATAATTTCTTTGTTTTTGTGTGATTTTTGGGGTTTAAATCTATGATTTATTGAAAATTTGGTTTGTTAAAGTGATTCTACTATATTGAATTGAGCTGTAAAAGAAACCAATTGGTAATGGCAGTGGTGAGCTGCTTGATAACTCCTTATAACCTTTTTGCACATTGGTTCCCTAGCACCTGGTGTGGTGCCTGAGTAAATTGAAAGGACATTTTTAGATGTGTTGCGTCATGTTTATAATTACCCATTGTGTTGATTCCCAGTGTTAAAATAGGTAAAGATTAAACTTACACAGATTTCTCAAATTATTTTTTACAGAAATTTTTATCAAGAGTCTAGAACATTTTATTTGCTAAACAAATAGGGAACTCTCTCCCATAAGCATTCTAGCCAGTGGGGAGGAGATAGTGAATAATTATATTATGTGGTACAAGTGCTTTGGATGGAAGTGGAATAGCATAGAAGAAGCAATGGCAGTGAGGCGAGCCCTAGCACAGGTGGTGAAGGGTATTGTAAATTAAAATTCTCACCACTTAATGAATAAATGTGCAAACAAAGAAATGGAAAGGCAATGGGGGTTAAATCTCAGCAAATAACGAAGAGGCAGAGGGAAGAACTCTAAGGGCATGGTTTTTTTTAGATCTGGTTAACTCATGGGCAGGACTGTGCTTTTTTTGTTTGTTTTTTAAGCAATGTTTGTCATCCTAGTAAGAAGCTAAAATCATTTTATACAATAAAATCCAGTTATATTCTGTCCTTAGGCATTTGAACCACGGTACTGTTTCCTGAATTCTAGCCACTGTTTCTTGGGGAGCAATTTTTCAAACAATGCTTAAAGGCACCCCAAGAGGGAAAGGTAGACAAAAATATATTGGAAAGGTTTGCGGTACAACTTGCTACTTGATTCTCAGTAGGTGGCTCTGTTTTTGTCTCTGCTTCTACCTTTCAGGTAGGATTATATTTTGATATAATTTGAAACCTATACCTCCTTCTGACTGCAAGACTCATCTTTAGTACATGGAAATAGCAGACCATGTTTAGGTAAATACCACTGGATACGTCAAGAAAAAGAGATGTATTTATTTGAACATCAGAGTTAGGGGTGGAGCTAGGACAGAGAGAGGTCTTCCATCCATTAATTCACTCCCTACATAGCTGCAGTGGTCAGAGCTGGGCCAGGCTGAGACCATGAGGCAGGAGCTCTCATATGATGGCAGGACCCCAAGCACTTGGGTGTCTTGCAGTGGTTTTCCCAGAACATTAGTGGGAAGCTTGATTGGATGTGCATCAGTTAGGTTCTGTACCTGTGTGAGATATTGGAGTTGTAGGAGGTAGTTTTACCGGACACACCACAACGCCAGCCTTTGTTGAATACTTTTTACTTTTGAAGGTAATTTTTCTTTCTTTTAAAAATGTTTGTGTGTGTGTGTGTGTGTGTGTGTGTGTGTGTTTATATAATTGCAAGGCAGAGTGGCAGGAAAGAAATATCAACGGATTTACTGCCTCAGTGCCCACAACAGTTGGACTGTGCCAGGCTGAATCCAGGAACCAGGAATTCCACTCAGGCTTCATGTGTGGATGGAAGGGACCAGAGACAGCACCTGCTGCCTCTGAAAATGTGTCTTAGCAGGATAAATAGAAAGTGGAGCCAAAGCTTAAATGCAGGCACTTCAATATTGGACACAACTATCCCTAATGCTGGCTTGACAACTTCATCACAGTGCCAGCCCTGGCGAAATGCCATCCATGGGTTCACTCCCCAAATGCCCACAGCAGCCAGAACAGCTGTGGAGTGAAGCCTGGAGCTAGGAACTCAATCCAGATCTCTCTTAATGGGTAATAATGACCCAGCCACTTGAGCCATCACCTGCTGCATCCCAGGATGTTGATCAGCAGAAAACTGGCTTTGGGAGAGGAGCTGGGATTTCAACCAAGACCTTCCAACATAGGAACCTGGCACGCCACCCAACTGGCAGTTCAATCTTAAACTACTCCCTGGGTAATGTTTATTTCATCCTACCTAAAAGCAGGTGCCTGAATGAACTGGGAATTGGAAAGATGCTAGTGGAAGCCCACTGTCTAGGCCATGGATCTTTTCCTTGCTTGCAGTCCTCTTGTGAGCATGGTGATTGTATAAAGAATTAGCTGATCAGCCAGAACTCCCTATTCACTGAGTCATATGTTGATAGGACTACCAAGAATTGCCAATCTGCAAGAGAGGAGAATGGCATATTCTTTATATGCTTTCAAGCGAATGATGCCAGATTAAACGTGAATCGATATTTCTAGTGTTAGGAATTTTTGCCACAAGCCCAAAACACCAGATGCCAGTGAGTCATGCAAGAGGTCTTTGTTCAGTGGAGAGGAAAGTGGCTGCGGCAAGAGAGAGAGAGAGAGAAGGCAGAGAGAGAGAGAGCAGAGAAGCACACATGTGGGAGCATGCTTTTGTGGCAAAGTGTGGGTATTGAGAATAGGGTTCTGGAGGGATTGGTGGATAGGGCCATGGCAGGTGCCAGGGATATGGGCGATGAGGGACTTGTGGATGGAGCCGTCAGGTACAGTGCCATGAGGCTGCAGCGGATTGGTGGAAAACAGGGTTATGAGATTACAGCAAGTTGGTGGAGAACAAAATTTGAATCCAAAGGGCATGAAACTTATAGAAGCAAACCTTAGGGAACACAGAAAACTAAGGGAAGCACATTTTTTTAAATGGCGCTGGGTCTAAAATGGCGGGGGTCTTATCAATCTTGAGTCACTCCTCACATTTAGCATCTTAATTTATTCTTTTTTCCATATGCTGCAAAGAATCTCTTTAGTACTAGCAAAATTTGAGCTAGAGGGTTATCCATTTGCTTCTATTGAGTGTGCCTCAATGTTTCTGCTAAAGAAAACAAATATATTATCAAGGTATTTTATTCCATACAAAGGAAAACTGCATTTCATATAAATCAGATTCAATTTATACAGTCTTCACTCAGTGAGTGTATTTCAATAGGGAGGACTATGTATTATTGAGGACGACTATGTATTTCTTCTGAAATACTATTGGTTCTTCACAAATGTGTGGTATTATCAAAACCTTATTTATTTATGTCTAAAGGCAGAGTGACAGAAACAAAGATTTTCCATCTCTGAAAGGAAGAGACAAAAAGTGGGGGGTGGGGAGAAGAAGAAAAGCCACTTGGAGATCTTTCACCACTGGTTCATTTTCTAAATGCCCAGCAATACCCAGGGCATGGCCTAGCCAAAGCCAGGAGCCAGGAGCCAGGATTCCAATGACTTTGCATTTCAAAAGAAGACTTTCAGGTAGAGTTCTACCTTGCCATACTGTTTAGTTTTGCTGTTCTAAAAAGAAAACAGGAAAGCTAAAGATTAATAGCTTTGGCATCCCATATGCCAGTCTCGGTCCTGGCTGCTGGACTCTGGAACTGGATCGAGCCCCTTGCTAATGTGCCTTGGAAGACAGTGGGTGATGGGCCAATAACTTGGGGCCTGCCTTCCACACAGATGGACTTGCTGGCTTCTGGGTTTGACCTGGCCTATTATCCTTGACTAATACAGTCACATGGAGAGCAAGCCATGGGTGGAAGGTCTCTACCCCCCAATCTTTCTCTGTCTCATCCTTTCTTTTTGTTAGTCTGCATTTCAAATAAATAAATAAATCTTACACAAATATTCTGTTCTGGGTAAGATATAATTTGAGGATTATACCACTCTCAAAATGAATCTCTCGTCTCCTAGCAGGTTCCTAAAGAATCTTCATCTGGGGAGACATGGCTAATGTGGATTCATTTTCTAATATACTAGCTATGTGACCCTGGTAAAGTCTCATTTTTAATGTGAACAAAAATAATTTCTTTGCAGGTTTGTAATGAAATAGTTAATGTTTATAAAATTCCCCATTCATGAGTGCAAAAAAAATGTTATTAATACAACACTGTGTCTTTTCAATGAACAATTAAGGGATACTTGTTCCATTCAAAGTTTTTGCCCTACATTTTTTTAAGATTTATTTATTTTTATTACAAAGTCAGATATATAGAGAGGAAGAGAGACAGAGAGGAAGATGTCCTATGATTCACTCCCCAAGTGAGCGCAACGGCTGGTGCTGCACCAATCCGAAGCTGTGAACCAGGAACCTCTTCCAGATCTCCCACACGGGTGCAGGGTCCCAAAGCTTTGGACCGTCCTCAACTACTCTCCCAGGCCACAAGTAGGGAGCTGGATGGTAGTGGAGCTGCCGGGATTAGAACTGGTGCCCTTATGGGATCCCGGCGTGTTCAAGGCAAGGACTTTAGCCAGGTCCATGCCCCTACATTTTTAACAAAGAGATGTAATTAACCTTGGGGATAGTCATTTATCAGTTATAATACAAAAAAAAAAAGGAAAAAAAAAGGAAAGAAGGTATATACAATGGAATAAAGAAGATGAAATTGAACTTTACTAAGCTTCAAAGGTTGAAGTCCCTTTCCCAGAAAATGTTTTTAGCAGAAAGAACAGGTGTTAATAACACTGTATCTACTTATCTATGGATTTATTAATTATTGTTTTTTAAGAATCAAGTTGAACTTTCTTATAAAGACCTTGACTCCCAGAGGAGAAGCTCAGGCATCTGCACATGTCACGATGAAAGATGAAAGATGATGCCTACACTCATGGTGCTTGCAGCTGCAGTTAAGTCTGAATAATTCCTACTGTGGACTTAATTCTAGTTTTTAAAAATCAATTTGTTATACTCTTTAGGAGAGAATGAGAGCTGGGTCTGAATCTGAAATTTCCTATCCTAGGAAGTCATACTACCTATTTGAGAACGGAATTCTGAGTCCATGATTTACAACATAAGGGGCTTTTGACTCCCAGGACCAAGTTCTGGCCACTTTGATGCTTTCCTGTCTGCTTTTTGGCTTTGAACATTTTATTTGTAACTAAAGGAAGCATTTGTTTGTTGCTTAACATGTTAACATTTTTTTTCCTCTTTAGTGTATTCCGATGGATTTTAAAATCGAACACACCTGGGATGGTTTGCCAGTGAAGCACGAGCCAGTTCTTGTCAGGCTGACTCCAGACGGGGGAGGCGTGATGCTGGAAGTTAGTGCTCCTTTTTTCAATGATCCACCAGCCCCTCCAGGAGAACCAGGAAAGCCCTTCAATGAACTGTGGGATTATGAAGGTAAGTGGAAGAACTGTATTTTATTGCAAAGATAAATCTTGTAATAATAATCTCACAGAGCTGTTATTTTATCTTGCTGTTAGGAAGTGCTATATCATAACTGTCATGTGTAGTTTCTCATATTTCCTACCAATCTCTCATTTTGACTTTTTCTGTTTTACATATGGGACCTCAACTATGTAACTAAGACAGTGAAAAATGGTAATTACAAGTCCACATCTTTAATTGCTGCCATATTTCTTTCCTTCTCAACTTCTATCACCTGTCCTAAGAGTTCAGCATTTCAGACCCAGCACGGTAGCCTAGTGGCTAGAGTCCTCGCCTTGTATGCGCCAGTTCTAATCCCAGAGGCCCCACTTCCCATCTAGCTCTCTGCTTTTGCTCTGGGAAAGCAGTCAAGGCCTTGGGACCCTGCACCCATGTCGGAGACCCAGAAGCTCCTGGCTCCTGGCTTCAGATCAGCTCAGCTCTGACTGTTGCAGCCACAAGATCTTCCTCTCTGTCTCTTCTATATATATCTGGCTTTCCAATAAAAATAAATAAATCTTGAGAGAAAAAAGAGTTCAGCATTTCCGTTTAGTACAACTATATTGAAATTGTCATTTTAAATGTTTAAATCATATTTTTGGAAGCTTGTGTATTTTATTGATTGTGAAATCATCATAAAATGCAGAATGAAATGCAGTTTTCCATGAGGATAGTTCCAGGTCATAAACCAAGATAAGGTTCTAACCCTTACTCTAAGTTTTCCATATAATCATGGATTAGGCCACCTTATTATATCAAAAACTTAAAAAAAAATTATTTATTTATCTGAAAGGCAGAGTGGCAGGGAAAAAGAAGAGACTGAGAGAGAAATATTCCATGTATGGATTTGCACCCCAAATGGCTGCAGCAGCCAGCGCTGCATCAGGACCACGCCTGGAGCCCAGAACTCCATCCTCTTCTTGCACATGGGTGACAGTAGCCAAAGGCCTTGGGCCATCTCCCACTGTCTTCCCAGATGTAGCAGAGGGAAGCTGAATTGGAAACAAAGCATCCAGGTCTTAAAACAACACACTGATTTGGAATGCTGGCATCAAAATTGGTAGCCCACAATGCTGGCCCCCTCCATCAACAACTCTTCTGAAATGTTCATTATCTTAGAATTCATGTATGTCCTCAAGGGTGTAATTTTCAATTCTCCCAGACTCTAGTGCAACTAGTCCAAGGTCTAGTTCACGTCTTACTTCTTCAAAGAAGCCTTGATAACTGATAAGTCATTACTGGCATTTACTTTTTCAGCAACATTTGTATAGCACAAAGTTTTGTCAATGTGACAAACATTTTTTTGTAGCATATTAAAGGATATTTTAATTTATACAGAACTTGTACAGGCCAACTTTCCAAAGGTATACACACCAGTGTGACTTACCTGTTAAGTATTTTAAACACCAACTTCAATGAATCTTAAACTGAACTTATCTACTGCTGACCCGTCACTTTTCTAGTCCTCCAGTTTCAATTGATGACACTAACCAAATCACCCATCTAGAAATTATGACATCTCTCTGTGATACTCTTCCCTCTCATTCTCCAGACTTGGACTTTTTTTTTTTAAATTAAGATTATCAGTTTCACTTTCTAAATGTTTGTGTAAGTCAATATCTCCTTTTTATTCCTGCAATCCTTGCTATAGTTTAGGCTTTCATCATTGTTTACCTTGGTTAGGGCATAATCTTCTAAATAGTGTAATTGTCTTTAAGTATGTTGTTAACATAGAAGCCAAAGTGATCTAACTAAAAGAAGTTTAAACTCATTCAGAGACCGAAACACTTCTCAGGTTCTAAATGCCCCAAGAAAAGTTTTGCCTTTTTTTGTATGAACTCTATATGAGAATGTGTATGGCCTGGCCCCCATTCTCTCTGCTGCACTGCCTTTTATTTCTGCATTCAAAGTTTGGCTGAGTTAACGCCAAGCTGCTTATGGTTATTTAAATAAGCAACAACATTTCTTAAGTGTATGCTTTTGATTGTGCTGTTTTTTCACCCCAGAATGCTATTTGCATCATTTTCGCATTTCACTTGGTCCCATCTTTTAAGGTATAGTCAATAATTTTCCTCAACTGTTTTTGTTAATCCAATACTTGTGGTTTTTTTTTTCTAATTGCAGTTCGCATTCACTGCCCCCCCAAAATTTTTTTCACTTTTGTGTTTAATTCAATTGTGAGCCGTTAATTTATTCTTAGAATCTGATGCAATGTTTAATATGGAAAAAATACAAAAGCATTTCTAAAATAGTTATGGAAAATACAAACCAACAGGGATGTGTGTATGTCTTTAAAAGAGAGAGAGAAAGAGAGGCTGGTTTTAAGGAACTGGCTCCTTGTGGAGGCCTGTGAGTCTAAATTCTACAGAAGAGGCTGGCTGGAGGCCTACGGAAGAGCTGAGTTTCGGTTAAAATCTGAAGACTGCTGGCAGAATTCATCTTTTGGAGATCAGTCTTTTTTTTTAATTAAGACTTTTGACTGATTGAATAAAACTCACCCACAGTATGGAGAGTAGCTTGCTTTACTAAAAGTCTGTTGATTTAAATCTTCATTTCTTGTAAAGAAAATATCTTCATAGAAACATCTAGAATTAAGTGTTATTAAAGAAAATCAAAATTAGTATCTATTCATATGTAGCAAAACTAGGTAAAATAGAATACAACTGAAAAATTTATGCAAAAAATAAAGCTATCATCAGATATGGCACAGTATTAATTTTTTTTTCAATCTAAGTAAGTAAAATAGATTGTAGAAGCATAGGAAAAGTCTGATAAATTTTAGATCAAAGAGGAGAGGAAGGATTTTTAATTTCATGTGTATTTGTATTATTTTAATTATTTTGAAGAGAGGTACTATTTTCATGGTTAAGCAATTTTTAAAAATAATACATACTTAGAAAATTATGCAAATTATAAATGATAAAAAAAATAAGTCCACATACCTTTATGCCACTATCACAAATAGCCAGTCTTAACATTTCTGTGCATAATTTGAAGACATTTGGGCCCAGACACGTAGGCACAGTTTAATTTCATGTACATTTCATTGTTGCTGTGCAGGCTAATTATCACATACCATAAATATCTTCCCATGTCCACAGATATATAACTCGGTCTGTGACTTTAAAGTCTGTATTTTATTCTACAATATAATCTCTGCAACAGCTCTCTTATATGATAGATTTATAGGAGAAGAGATGTTCCTTTAGATCATTTTCAATTTTTAAACACTACTTGGGTGAATAGCACTAACCTCTTTTCCAAATTGATTATTTCTTTTAGGGTAAATTCCTACAAGATGATTATTGGCTCAAGGTCTATGCAATGATACCTGTTTCTTTATCATTTCTTCAGTAGAAAGCCTCTTAATCTTTTAAATTTATGGCAATCTGACATGGGCGATAATTGATGATGATTTACTTCCTGTGTACTTTTTCTATGAGGAAATGTCTGTTGTTTTTGCTCCCTTTTCTCTTAGAGATAGTATTGTGTGTATTTTTTTTTTTTTTTAAAGATTTATTTTTATTATTTTTTCATTGGAAAGGCGGATATACAGAGAGGAGAGACAGAGAGGAAGATCTTCCGTCCGATGATTCACTCCCCAAGTGAGCGCAACGGGCCGATACTATGCCGATCCGAAGCCAGGAGCCTCTTCCGGGTCTCCCACGCGGGTGCAGGTTCCCAAAGCTTTGGGCCGTCCTCTGCTGCTTTCCCAGGCCACAGGCAGGGAGCTGGAAGGGAAGCGGGGCTGCCGGGATTAGAACCGGCGCCCATATGGGATCCCAGGCGGCAAGGTGAGGACCTTTAACCACTTGCGCCACCGCGCCGGGCCCCTGTGTGTATTTTTTTAAACTATTAGTTAATTCATTTTCCTTTAAAAATACATCAATGATTTATTATTGAAGCAAAATTATAGTCTCAATATGTCATTTCTGTTTTCAACAGTTGTAGAAGCATTTTTCTTGAATGATGCAAGTGAGCAGTATTTAGAAGTTGAACTTTGTCCGTAAGTATATATTAAAAAAATATTACTATATGATTTGAACACATTATTTCTAGTGATAAATTATATGGTTCTGGTAAAAGATCACTAACTTCAAATAGAGAAACCAATAATTGAATCATACACTTTTATATAATTGCTTACCTTTCATATATAATGTATATATTTAGAATATATTCTCAGCATTTGCAAATATTCTGTTGTTAATTTTAATTCACTCAATTATTTTTTCTAATTCCTATATAAATATTATTTTTGAAAAATGAAAACCAACATAAAACAAAGCCCTTTTCCTAATTATTTACTCTAAAAATTTGCATTGTCGTATATTAGCTGTTACATGATTAAAGGGAAGCATCAAGATAATGAATTGATATATTGGAGCTTCTGTTGTGGTGTAGTGGATAAGGCTGCCAGCAGTGATGCCAGCACCTAGTAAGGGCTCTGTCTCATACCCTGGCCATTCCACTTGGGACCCAGCTTCCTGCTAATGGCCTAGGAAAAAGCAGAGAATGATTCAAGTATTTAGGCCCTTGCTATCAATGTGGGAGACCCAAATGAGACTCCTGAGTCCTGGATCTGGCTGGGTCGGCTGTGGCCCTTATTGCAATCTGGGGAATGAGCCAGTGTGTAGGTCGCTTTCTATCTCTGTCTCTCCCTCTCTCTGTATTTCTGACTTTCAATTTCATAAGTTAATCTTAAAAAAAGAAATAACCAATGAAAATATTTCTTTTATGGCATTTTAAAATCATTATACAAATTGTTATTTTTATGTCTGACATAGTATATATTTGTGTATTCCTTCCTTTATTAATGATTCATTTATTGAGCATATTCTATATTATTATTGCATTCAGTTTCAGAAATAAAAACTAAATTACATATGCATTTTCCCAGATTTTTAAAAATACTACCCTCAATTTCTTTATTCAGGTTAACAATTTCCTTGAACAGCCTCTTTATTTGGTTGAAAAACTCCTTTTTTCCTATAGACATGAAATAAATAAACTTAATACCCATCTGTCACCTAAATTATAGCAAATTTATGTTGGCATATAATAATCAACATGTTCTTTCATAGTGCTGAGATTTACTTTAGAAAACTCACCTTTTAAATTTTTTCTACCGAAATGCCCATCAACAGAAGACTGGTTAAGAAAGCTATGGTTCATCTACTCCATAGAATACTACTCAGCTATTAAAAAAATGAAATGCAGTTTTTTGTGGCCAAATGGGCCCAACTGGAATCCAATAAGCTAAGAGAAATGAACCAATCCCAAAAGGTTAAATACCACATGTTTGCCTTAATCTGAGATGAAAATATGTCAATCTGGAAAATAGTACCTGTATATTGTAATTGCGATCTCTGACAGCCTGTATCCAATGCAATATAATGCATTGTAACCTATAATACAACAATTAATATGAGTCAGAATGCTTATGATCTACATCAAAGAACTGTAAAACCTAAAACACTCTTAACACCCTATGTTATTCCGTAATGGGGAGGGAATGGAGAGAAATCTTCCATTTCCCTAAAAAGTGTGAGGAAGACGTGAAATATAGCCTGTCAGGATCAAATCTGGTAACCCATGGACAACAGACTCGAGTCGGCACTTGACAATAGTAAAGCTACACAGGCATAAAGGGGGAATCGGGAGCAATCCTGACAGCCTCTTAACAGGAGGTCATATGCACAGAGCAGGGGGGGACCCCAGAGTGGAGCAGGTGGACAGGAGGAGGCTCGTATCCCAACCCTGAAGACTCCCAGATCCTCACCAAGGACTTATCGGTACGGACACCAAGGACTACATCCCAACTGCCAAGGAGACCATGGGGAATTGGAGTGCCTTCAGAAGCCGAGAACTCTGAGGTCACCTACCCCCAACCGGAGCTGGAATGGAAGAAGTCCAAACTCTGCCATGCAGAAACCAGTGTCATTGGAACAACAACCAGGAGCCCTGAGCGGTCTGCAGAAACAGAAGAATAATAAACTTCCTTCAGGACTAGGGAGAGGAGCTTTCTCTGGTCCTCACCTAGCTCCAGCTCTGGGTCCCCACCCTCTCTCGCAATGACCATTAGGATCACTCCAGAAACCCATCAAAACAATTGAACAAACATACAAACAAACAAAAAACCTAGAACAAACAGACAACACCAAGGAAAGCTTACAATCAGGCAGGGAATGGCCAGCGTGGATTCACTCATACCTCACTAGGTGGGACACAAAGATTAGTTACGCCTCACTGGGATACTGGGGATTTTTCTGCACATCCCTCCTAAAAAAATGTTCCGTACCTAAACCGATGACACATGTCTTGCTAGAGTTATAAGCCAGTTCAGACCATCCGAAAAACAACCAAGTTCAGCAAAATCATGCTTCAACATGATAAACAGCTAAATACTAAAATGAAAACAGACACGAGACACCTGAATAATAATCTATAGCCATTTTGAGGTATATAGAACCCAGCCGAATATAATCCAAAATTGAAATGTCTATGAAGAAGTCACAGGATGTAGTTAAGAACCTGCATTTTCCTATTAACATACTGTTAATCAATAACATGTCAATTATGCCATAATGTTGTAAATTGTTGTTGATGTTATGTTGGAGCTTTTAATTGATTGGGATGATACTTTGCCGGCATTACCTTCAGACCAGAGATGGTCTCACCAAGAAATTGTTGAACTCATCAAGATGATAAGATGCTGGACTTTATGCTTGGTAAATACTTCCAATGAAAGAACCTCAACTGAATTTAAACTGTGGTAATACAACAAGGTGGAGAAATCCACCCTGGGGAGAGGGCTCGGGGAGGGGTGGGGGGAATCCCAGTGCCTATAACACTGTGTCACATAATGCAACACAATTAATAATAATAAAAAATTCCCCCCAAATTTTTTCCTATAAATTTTTTTAATGGAGTTTGGGGAGAGAGGAAGAGATGAGAGAAGCCACCCCCCATACAGTGGTTCATTGTCAAAATGCCGGCCTGACAGTCCTGGCTGGGGCTGAAACTAAGAGACAGGAGTTCATTTTTGATCTCTCAGTTGGGTTGCAGAACTCATCACTCCCCTCAAGGGGCATCATTAGCAGGAAGCTGGAGTTAGGAGCTAGAGACAGGTAGCTAACCCAGGCACTTCACTGTAGGATGTGTTAGCTGTCACCTTAACCTGTGCCCTACTATTATTCATTGAAAATGCCTGTTGATATCAATATCTAATGGCATTTGTTTTCTTGTGCATGCCAGTAAGACTCAAACAGTAGATTTAAGTGAAATTTTAGATATCCTTTTGTTTTTCCCTTCTTTTTTTTCCTATTGTACTGTAAAAAAAAAATCTAGCTGTTAGCATTTACTTATTTTATTTTACTTGAAAGACAATGAGAGAGAAAGAGGAGATATCTCTCATCCATTGGTTCACTCTATAGATGATCACAATAATCAAGGCTGGGCCAGGTCTTAGCCAAGAACCAAGGACCCAGTCAGGGTCTCTGATGAGGGTTGAAGAGACCTGATGATTTGAGTCATCAGCTGCTGGTTTCCCAGGGGATGTGCATAGCCAGAAGCTGGGATCAGGAGTGGAGCCAGGAACTGAGTACACGCAGATAGGGGAGGTGGAAATTACAAGTCATGTCTTAACTGCTGGGTCAGGTGTCTAACACAGCACATGCCTTTTACAAATAGTAGTTACAAAATGTTATGTATCGTCTTTCAACCAGTGTGCCAAATTTTCCTTGAAAAAGTAGGAAATTTTCATGAACCGTCCTGAAAGTTAAGAAAAGTTCAACTGTTTTGCAATTATTTCAATCTCAGAATTCTGAAGTCTGATTATCAGTTGTAACTCTATTACATAGTAGTAATCACTTTATGACTAAAGTGATGACTTAATATTGAAGGACTAATTAGATTCTCTTTTGTTAAGAAATTATACAGTGATCAGAGCATAGAATTAATAAATTTTCAGTGCTTAGACTCCTCAGGGCTATTTGGTTTCACATACTTCAGAATAGGTAATAAGCAAGAATCATGATTTTTGTGTCCAACATTCACTTCCTATAAAATTTAATAGGCCTCTAGGAAAGCAACAGGAAGAATATAATTTTAATTTGTGAGAATTGTTACTCATCCCAGGATATTCCCAGGACTGCATAATAATAATAAAAATAATCAGAGGAGGCTGAGATGAAAAAGATTACTTGTTTTCTGTTAGAATACTTTACTGAAGAAAATTTTCCTTGAAAATTTCATAAAAGACCATTTGTATAGGAATGTTTAATACAGTTCTTTCCAGAGACAATAAGCTTATTTCATGAGAACCTTTGAGCCTTACAGACATGGCTAAGGCCAATTAAAAACTCTTGTTAGAATTTCCTTTTTAATTGTATGTATTTCTTTTCGCAAGTGTGATCATGGTACCTGAACTAAGGATAGAAAGCAGGCAGACACAAGACTCAGGTTGAGGACAGTTGTGTGGGAATACACATGCTAATTTTCAACTGGGAAATCGACCTGCAAAGTGTTGGGCCTGTTCACTAGTCTCAGGCAGTCTGTATTTATATATTCTCTCTTCCAACTGAGCCTCAAGATAGTTTACTTACAGCTTTAGTAAACTTGTTGGATTCAGGCTTAGAAATGATCCCTGCTTAGGAAACCTTACTTTTGAAAAAAATAAACCTGAAGAAATAGCAAATTTGAAAGCAATGAATTCACTCTAATTTTCCTAAACCTCAATCTTTCCCATCCTGATCAACCATGTAATCATATTAAAAAAATAAAATAAAATAAAAAAACCTCAAATAATGTATCACTTATCCCTTTCTGGCATCATCAGCTACATGAATATTACTTTAAGTCTTTCTTTCCTTCTTTTCTTTCTTTCCTTCTTTCTTTCTTTCTTTTTTCTTTCTTTCTTTCTTTCTTGTCTACAAAAAGAGGCAATCTTGGTTATGAAGGCTTATGCACATGCTGCCAACTGTTTGGAATATTGCAAAATCTAGAAGGTCATCTGTAAATAATGAACACATTGCCCTCCCTATAATTGTTTCACATGTGTATTACATCTCTCGGTTATTTGGAAATTTAGTTGTGAGCACCCATATTCTAGATGTGAAGAATAGTAGGAAAGAATATGACATTTTTTCCCTTCAAATATTCACAAAGAACCTTAATTTTGACAGCCATGGACAGCATTTAGTGCTTTTACTGTCTGGAAGAAGAAACGTGTGGAAAGTAAGTACAAAAAGTGTGAGACAAAAATTTTTAAATTCACAAGTTCTGTATGTGAGTGTGTAGGTATGTGAAAATAGAGATTTTAACTTTTCTTCTGTGTTTCACATATCACTTCTGTAGCAAGAACTTGCCTTATCCTTCAGAGTATCCAGAGCACAGACAAGATGGGAAGGCAAAGCTTATCTTCCTTGGAATTATTTTCCACCAAATGTAACAAAATTCAATTCATATGCAATTCATGGATCGAAAGAGAAAAGAAGTTATGAAGCTCTGTACCCTGTGCCTCAGCATGAGTTGCAAGAAGGACAAAAGCCCGATTTGTAAGTAGTAAGTAATGGAGGATGTGTCCCAACTGTAAGAGTTCCTTGGATGTTAGTTCTTGGTAGAGCAGTGGTAACATTTATGGTCAAAGAAAACCATGTGTGTACAGAACTGGTGGAGTCCTTCATTCTCTGAGAGTCTTAAATACTTTGATGGACCGATCTGACCTCTCCTACTGCTACTAGAACACTTTTTCCTCCTTATCAGTATGAGAAAAGATTTGTTGAGTATATATTACAACAGCTAATGTGGAAATGCAATTGCAAATTTATTCATGGTAGTATTTAGAAGTAAATGGTAAGAGACATGAGTTTCCTGGAGTGAATGAAGGGGTAATAAATCATTTTACCTGCTGTGAGAAAATCTTATCTTCAGTTATCTTTCTAGTTTTCTTTCTCTCAATAATCTCATGGGAAAAACATATCAACTATGTTTGTAGGTAACATTGATATGATAAATAATGACTGACCTTTATTTGGGAAATTATGTCAGGATAGTAATTTAAAATATTTTTAATTAAAACATTGTAGATTTTTTTCCGCTACCTTCTAAATATTTTCAGAAAAGATTTGTTTATTTACTTCTCTGAAAGGCAGAATGACAGAGACTTTGGGAGAGAGACAGAGAGAGAGAGAGAGAGAGAGAGAGAGAAAGAGAGTGTGTGTGTGTATGAGAGAGAGAAAGAAGGAAAGGAGAGTCAGGGGGAGGGGTGTGGAGAGAAAGGAGAGGGAGGGATAAGAGATCCTCTATTTGGTGCTTCACTATCCAAATGAATGCAAAAGCTAAGGTTGGACCAGGCTAAAGCCGGGAGCCAGGAACTCCATTTGGGGCTCTGAAATGGTTAACAGGGGCCCAAGTTCTTGGAACATGATGCACTGCCTTCTCAGGCACATCAGCAAAAAGCCAAATCAAAAACAGAGCAGCCAGGACTCAACACTTGCACTCTGATTTGGGATTCCAGCACTGCCAAGTGGCAGCTCAACTTGCTGCACTGCAGTACCAGCCCCATGAACTGAGTAATTTTGAATGAACTGTAAATACATGATGGAAAGTGGCTTTGAGATTCCCCTACAGCAGTTGTGTTCTTTGGGGACTATCCCTATGAGATTATTACAGAAGATATTGCCCCCTTTAAGGCAACAGGCATTCAAACCAAGATATCTCCAAAACGTTGCTAATTTAAGTCTTGTCTCCTTAAGCCTGGAGCTGTTGCCAGGAGAGACTTTAACTCTCTGACCAACCTTAGGGAGGCTTTTTGCACTTCTACAAAGACTGCTCCTTTAGGGAGGAAAGCCAGATGCTGTCCTGGGGTCAACCTGTGATTCCTCCCCTGTATCTGTTTTTGGAGGTATTGGGAATCAATATTTAGAAGAGCCTGACAGAGGCTGAGCTACCTGCCTTTCAACCCTTGGAGTTTGTAGTCCGAGTGTGGACATGTGCTGTCCTTCTCCCTTTCCCCGCCTTTCCCTCCCTGTCATGCTCTTCACTCAACTGTACGTTCAGCTTCTCCAGCATATTCCTTTCCCCTACCACCCACTGATTTTCCCTATTATTATTACACTAGTATAGTTTTTTTTATTACAATAGTATAATATATATATTTACTACAATGGTAAAGTTCTGGATAAACAGCCTTAAGTCCATCAAATGAGTTGAGTTTTTAAGAGTTTAGTTTTATTTCTCCCTTCAGCTATGAGGCTGCTATTTGCAGAATCAAAGGCTTTGAAATATGGATGAATGTTTTCAGAACTGTTTGATCATTCATATAGAATACGTGTTGCTTTTGTTATTTTTTGAAATAGAATGTTGTCCTATCAAACATGTGACAAAATAAATAGCCCTTGAGGGTAACTATTTTGTATATGCATAGTTTGTTCAATCCAACCTTTGTTTTCTTTGCCACTAGCCATCGTCTAGAATACTTTAAACCTTTAACTTTTAACACTGTACTTGGAGAGGAATGGAAACAACCAGCTTCAGATATTTGGCTAATGGAAAATGTGATATCTAAGGAGTAAATTATTACGTCAATATCTTTTCTCTATATATTTGAAGGTAAGCCAAAGATAAGTATCAATCTTTTTTAAGACACTGTGAACACATTTCAACAAGGTGTTTTCATGGTGGCCACTGAAAATATAATTTCTCTATAGAAATCATGTAATGTTAAGAAAATAAAAATGTACTTTATTGTATTAATAAGGTTCAAATGTATCTAAAAGCCATTTAGCGCAGGCGTCAGGGTATCCATAGATTCAACCTTCCTTCTGTATTTCCATCACTCTGGTCTCTGACTCTGTCAAATAAAGTCGTTATTTCTCTTCCCACTTCCTTAAACCTCAGACAATCTAAGACTGGGATAGCTTATTTGAACATTCTTGAACTCCATGTAATAATACATAGTAACTTTAAAATCAGAAATCTTCTTACTATTCTTTAAGTTAGTAGAAAATAATGATCTATTTCAGTTGAATCAGAAGTCCTTATAGAGTTAAAAAAAAGATAGATGAGTTACTCAAACTGCTTAGTACCTCTGTTTTGTGACCATTTCTGCTTGAATGGTAGATTTGGATTCAGGCAACAGGCTCTGCTTTTATTTATAGGTCAGTGCCATTTTCTTAATGTTATTAAACAAAATTTAGAAAGTCTCAATCTTATTTTGAAAGCATTAGGTAGTCCTGGTCTGGAGTTCTCAAGGCTTAAAAAAAAATTCAAGATTTTGCACCAAAGCAAGCTTCTTTAATTTCCAGTTCAATTAAAAAAAAATTTCTTCTTAATATTGTTTACATTGCTGAGAGGGATGGGATGCATGCCCATGTGGGAGGTTCAGGAAGGTGGTTGGGACTTGAGTTCCAAGGTTTTTTGTTTTGTTTTGTTTGTTTGTTTGAGTTTGTGTGCTATCATGCTTCAGAGGCTGGAGCTGTCTGACAGACAGTCTGTGAGTTCTTCCACCAAATGTGGTGTTTCTCCAGAATTCTCAACTCAGAGCTTAGGAGTCTTGGTGGTCAGCTTTGGCAGTTATGGAGGTCCCCAGTCATCTACCTTATAGTACACTTTCTCTACCTTTTTTTTTTATCAAAATTTGAAATTTTGATACTTTATTCAAATCTAAATTTTCACTTTCTTTTTAGATAGAAAGGCTATAAACTGGGTTATCCAGTAAGCTGTACGTATTGTCTTGTACTGCAAAATGAAGTGTGAATCAACAATAGATGATATGTAACATTATGGTCCCATAATATTATCATGGAGCTGTGAAATTCTATTGTGTAGTGCCATTAGCTTTTATAATGCTATGAAACAATGCATTACATGTCTATTGTGATTGTGGCATAAATACACCTACTATGTCAAATAGAAGTATAGCAACATACTTTCATGTGTAATACATAATGTTTAATGATAAATAAGAATTTTATTGATTTTGTACCTACTATATGATACTTTTAATTACTTTAGAGTGTAACTGTCCTACTTATAAACACTTTTTAACAGCACTGTGTTGTACTAACAGTAACCTAATACTTCTCATGTTTATCACAACTTTTGGTTGCATCATGTGACCAAGTTGAATGATTGGCCTACTCTCATCTAGGTTTATGCAAATACGTGTATGATATCGATGTAATGATAAGATTGACTAATGATACATTTCCTAGGACATATCCCATCATTAAGTGATCTGTGACTGTATGTGAGTGAAACATTAGGACTTCAAGAAGGATAGTTTAAAAATGATGAATATCAGCTGCTATAAAGCTATAAACCTTTGCCCCTCCTCTTCTTTTTCATAATTGTAGAATTTATAGTCAAGGTAGTATGGTAACTACATTGTGACAATGAAGAAATAACACAGGGATGGCTAAGTAGAAAGACAGATGCTGGGTTCCAAATAGCAGAATACTTAATACTTGTAATATATTTGTTTTGCCAAACTACAAACTTAGTGTAGTTTGTACATAATTTATTTATGTATACTAGCTTTTTACATTTAATTTATGTATATATTTTCTTTTTTATTTAGACATTTTATTTTTTATAATGATTACATGATTAATCAGGATGGGAAGGATCGAGGTTTAGGGAAAATTAGGTGAACTCATTGCTTCCAAATTTGCTATTTCTTCTTGTTATATCTGGGGGAGAGGGAAGGACAAAGGAGGAAACCACTCATGACTTTCAACATGTCCCAGTACCCTGAGATAAGGAACCGCCACTTCATATCAACCCAGAGTCTCAATATGTAAATATTGCAAGGGTTCTGGCCAAGTGGTTTGGATATGAAATGCTGCCAATTTGAGCGATCCTGGGATGATGTTTCTCTCCCAATGTCCATTGGTTCCATTCACTGAGGTTTTTTTGCTGTTTGGGATGGTTGTCCAGTTAGTTCTGTTCTGCTACAGCACCATCTGGGCTGCCATATTCTCCCTTTACAATGTCTACTGCTCCACTTTTTCATAAACAGGACATGTTCTTGCAGGTGAGTCCAAGGATCCATATCAGGTGTCCCAAGCATCACCAGATCTCCCACCCCTGAGGCTTATAAACCCAACACCAACCTCACAGGCAGGTCCCAGGACCTGGGCCAGGCAACCCCAGTCCCGTCAGATTTCTCCGTCCCTGGGACTCATGAACCTGGCTCCTGCTGGGCCCAGCCTGACATAACTCGCCTCACCTGAGCATCTTCAATCTTATTGTTCAGCCTGGCGTAGTCTAGTCTGCTCCCTGTTCCAGCTCCTGCTGGTGGGTGCTGCAGCCTATCCCAGCTCAGTCTGATTGCTGTCCTGGTCCTAATGTGAACTGGCTGGTGTTGTGGCCCAATCTGTCCTCTTCTGCCCCCTACCCTGGTTCTCAGATCTGCCAGTGGGTGTTATGTGCTGGCCTAGACTGGTCTGTCCCTAGACTTGACTTTCATGTATGCTGGCTGTTACTATAACCTGGCGTTGTCTGGGCTGCTCCTTGCCTTGCTTCTTGTGTTCACCTACAGGGACTGTGTCCCAATGAAAGAGTTTCCCAAGCTTCTCCATCAAGTTTCCTTCCAGTTGCAGTTCTTGCGCACACCCATGGCTCGTTGGCCCAGGCTGACTTTGTTCACCTCCTACCCTGGCAAGAGCAGTGGTCTTGCTCAACTGGCCACACCTATTCTGATTTTTATTGCTGATTGTTGCAGTCCAGTGATGCCTGGATCATGCCCAGCCACAGCATTTATGTAGTTTAGTGGGAGTCAAGACCTATCCTGGCCTGTTCTGCACCCAACCTATCTCTCATGAGTACCAATGGGGACTGGAGTCTTAGCCCAATCTATCACTCCACAATCCCACTGCACACCTATGCCAGTGCAGTCTGTACCATGTCCAGCCAAGCCTGCTGTCCCCCATCCTACTTTTGTTCTCCCCAGTGGGAACCCTAACCCAAGCTGGGATGCCCCCTTAGCTTCCCAGCAGAGCCTGATCCCATCCACAACTCTTGGGTGAGCCAGCAGAGATTGCAGTTCCACAGGGGTGAGGTTTTTTAAAATACTGCATGCTTCCATTAAATTTAGCAAATGTACTGTATGTGTTTTGCATCTCTGCAACAAACACCTAAGAAACACTTCTTCAGAAGGAAGAAGATATATATTTTGGCTCACTTTTTGGAAGTTCACATGAGTGATCTTGTTGGTGTGACAGCTGATGAATGCGATGCATGGTAGGACAAATGCAGGAGAAGGGTCGCATGACGAACCAGGAGGCAGACAGATAGGGACATAGTCTTTTCCATGTCCATATGTCTTTCTTTATAATGCCACCATGTTCTGATCATGGAGGTACCACCTCAGCAACGTAATCTAAACTAATCATTTCTACAAGGCCCTACACTTCAGGCGGTACAGTTGAAATAGGTCTATACCATTTGTCCATTAGCCATTAATAACCTATTAACCATTAATATAGAACATTAGGTACCATCACCTAATACAATGGGTCTTTGGGAGACACCAATCTTGTATCTAAACCGTAGCACTGATACCTTATTCTTTCAATTAGGTGGGAAGTGTAAGCAGCTATCCTTAAGGTTGGAAACAGGAGAGCGTCTACTTGTACAACTTCAGTTCAACATTGTGCAATGAAGAAAAATAGTTTCAGAAAGAGCAAAAAAGGTTTTGTAATGTCTTATTTGCATTTGAAATTATAGTGTGTAGATAATTGAAAGGAATGTATAAGACATTTCTATAGCTATAATGCCAGTATATTAAATAATTTTAGTTGTACTTCAGTATATTGTAAATAATTTGAAACCAAAATTTAAAACCTGTGAGGTAACCAAGACTAAATTTAACCTAAGTGAGTGAAAAGTTGATATCAATTAGATTAGATGATATTAACATTTCCCAATGTCTAGAAATTCAAAGAAATCTTTGTTGAAAATCTCAAAAGACTATTTTTGGGAGGAGAGATGTTGATAATCTCAACCAAATTAAATATGGAAATGAAATTTGAGGCTCTTTATGTGTATAACCTAACTTGAAGATTTTTTTTTGAAATTAATCCTCAGTAATGAAGACAGTGTTGCTATTGACAAATACAACAATTGATAAGATAGGAAAACCTACATAAATACGGGCAATTAATTTTGGATGAAAATGTTAGTGTAAGTGAAAAGATTGTTAGAATACCTAGGAAAACACAGGAAAAAGAAAACTTTTATCTGATTTGTCAACCAAGAGGTAAATTAACCGTGATTGGCATTATTAAAACAAAAATTTTAGGAAAAAATCTGCACAACCTAAAAAGAAAAAGATTTTTTCAAATATGGTATAAAAACACCCACAAGGAGACAACAAATCAAAAGTTTTCAATATTTAAAAAAAGCATCTGTGCTCATCAAAAGCATCCACTAAGAAAGTAAAAATGCAAACCAAATGTAAGGAGAGAAAATATTTCAAACACATGTATCTAGCAAAGTATTCTTACCCAGAATCATGAAGTGCTGCTACAGTGTACCCATAAAAAGTCAGACAAGGCATTTAAAAGGGCAGAAGTGTTAGATACTTCAGTGGGTGAAATATACAAACAGATCAATAAGTAATGGAAAGACTGTGCATTTGCCCATCAAGCAAGCACAAAATCACAAGTTACCATTCCATGACTGAAAACACAAAATACATATAATGGCTAAAGGGCTGAAAGTTTAAAAGCAGTAATGAGGTTGTATAGCAACTGGGTGGAAATATAAGATGCTACAAATACTTTGGAAGCTTTCAAGTTAGATACAAACCTATGCAGGAAATAGGAACCTATATATTGGTTATTAACAATTTCGCATTTCTTAGTCTGGTGAGACAGAACTCCACACAGAGTAAGTTACAGGAAGATGCTTTATTATAATAGGCAGTCAAGGGACAAGGGAAAAATAGGTCTTATTGCAAGCTGGTCTTTCAACTCTTAAGGCATTTTCCTGGAATGGATGGAGTCTCAGGTTTATGTGCTCAACTTGAGTGACAGACAGCAAAGGGATCCTGGGAAACCTGCTTTGCTTGGATTTTTTATTTTCAGGGCAAAAGGGATTCGTGGTCTATGGTGGTAAAGGACATTCTGTTTCTAGGAGGGACTGGACCAGAATCTGGGGCTGATCCCCGCCACTGGCTCCTTGTCTCAGGCTACATCCTCTGCGCATTCTACAGTTTTCCATGAAAATTATATACTTGAGAAAGGGGAGAGGGAGGCTTAGATTTGTTCAAGGTCATTCAAAGGACTGACCTGTATTACCCTAGGGTTTAGCCATTTCTTTTTAGATCACATCTAGGATAAAGGAATAGTCAGAGCAATTTTATTCATAATAGCATAAAATTATAGACCACCAAATTTCATCCACAGGCAAGGAACCAAACTGGAATTTAGTCAAACAATAGAATACTGATTTGAAAAGGGACTGCTGATACATATGAAACCTGGATGAATCTTGATAATGTTATGTTAAGCAAAATAAAGTAGACATGAAATAGCATAATTGTATATGCAGTATGCTTTTTTTTAATAGGAAAGGCATATTTAAAATAATGTGGGATATTTCATTTATAAGTTACCTGAGGTAATTTTATAAGCACAAATAAAATTATGAAAACAATAATATGGCACACTTTAGAGTATCCTGTCATCTGAGTCACAGCTTTAGCTGCAATCATAGCTCAAATGTAGAAGAAAGTAATGCACAAATATGGACATAGTTAAAATCATATATAATGCAGAATTTGAATATTATACTTTTTGAGCCTTCTAAAACTTTATCTCTTTTACTTGTTTAAAGATTTTTCTCAAGCTTCTGCTTTATTTCATTGTGATTAAAAATTATTTTTACTTCTTACACTATCAAACAAGCAAACTCTATAAACATTTTTTTTTCTGAAAGGAGCATGCAGTTTATCTACAGGATTTGGCAAAGTTCTTCCATTATATAGATACAAATAATAATTCACCTTTTAGAAACTTATTATATGAAAGTGGGTGTTTGTAACAATGGTTTCAAATTTGTTTTTCAACTTCAGCCTCGTGCAAGTGCAGTGATTTCTTTGTTTAAAATATGCAGGTGCATTTCCTGGTGCTGTTTGGAATTGCTCACTGCAGTAGCAAACAGGTTCTCTCCTGTTACTTCCTAACCAGATGACACAGTTTGTGTTCTTTATTCAGGTGCTTTCTCATGCTTTGCCAACTCGGTCAAAGTATAATTAACGGTCCAAAGAGAAATGTATGTGTTTTATTTTTAGCTCCAGAGAATTTCCTTCTAATATTAAATAAATGTTTTCTGTCACAGAAAAATTATGTAATTGTTCCCCATGCTCTTTTTTTCATGTTCAGCTTTTGGGAGGTGAAAGGCAATGGTTTTAATGAATCTGATATTTAAGAAGAAAAATAATCAGTAACAAAGGGATAATGAAACAATTAGAACAAACCCTCAGTGCTTAAATCACACCTCAAAGCCCAAGGATTTTCTCTTCTTTCCCATTTAGTTTCCCATAGCATTTTCTTAAGAGCTATTTTATTTTTATAGAAAGTCATATATATATATATAGCACCCATATGGGACCTGGGCACTAGACTACTGTGCCAGGTCCACCCATTCTCTACTTCTGAAAAATTAACCTTTTAGTTCCACTTGTGAGAAAGTACAGTGTTTGTCTTCCTGTGCTTAACATTTAATTTAGTGTAATGTCCCTCAATTTCATATATGTTGCTTCAAATGGCAAAATTTTGTTCTTTTTATGATTACATAATTTTCCATTGTGCAGATCTACCACTTTTCCTTTGTATGTCCATCTGTCAATAGATCTGCTCATCTGCCAGTGGACACATCGGTTGTTTCCAAACTTTGACCACTGTGAAGCGTGTTGCAAGAAATCCATGAGTGCCGATATTTCCTTAGCACATTGGTTTCATTCCCTTTGCATGTATATCTAATAGAAGGATTTCAGGGTTCTATGGCAGTTCTATGAGTGTTTCTAATATACTTAAAAAAAATGTATAATGGCTGTGTTCGTTTACATTCTCACCAACAATGTATGGGGTTGCCCGTTTCTCTTTGTCCTTTCTGGCATTTGTTGTCTGGTAATAGCCACTCCAGCTGAGCTCAGGTGGTATTTCACTGTTGCCTAGGTGTTCATTTCTGTGATGGTCAGTGCTCTTGAGAATTTCTTCATATAATTGCTGGATGTTGATATATCTTATTTTGGGAAATGTCTAGTCAGGTTAATTGCCTGTTTTAAATTGGATTGTTTGCTTTTGTTGAGTCATTGGAGCTACTCCTGCATTCTTGTCACTTGTTGGATCATTAGTTTGCAAATGTTTCCTCCCTTTTGTAGACTGTCCCTTCATTTTGTTAATTATTAGCTTTGCTGTATAGAGCAGTACACTTAGTGTGTAATATCTTTTTAGTATGTTTTGAAGTCAGGTGCTGTAATGCCCTGAGTTTTTTGTTTGCTTATTTCGTTTTGTTTTGTGACAGTTGTTTTGACTCATGAGGGTGGTTTGTGGTTCTATGAAAAGTACAAAAATATTACTGTGACAAATGCTTTTCATTTTTGAGTAAGAATCATGTTGAATCTGTAGGTTACTCCAGATATTATTGACATTTTAACAACATTAAAAATGTTCCAATCCATGAACACGGGTCTTTTTTTGTCATTTTAAATTATTTTCTATAGTGTTTTGTAATGTCCATTGTAGTGATAATTTACACCTTTCTTAAATTTATTCTTAAGTGTTTGGTTATTTTATGACTGTTGTGAATGATGGAATGATGGCTGTCCTGGTTTTTTTTTTTCAGTGATTTTATCATTGCTATTTTAAAAAGTTACTGATGTTGGGGCCGGGACAGTAACATGGCATGCTAATCCTCTGCCCAAAGCACCAGCATCACATTTGCTCCACTTCTGATCAGGCTCTCTGCCGATGGTCTTGGAAAGCAGGAGAGAATGGCCCAAGTATTTGGACCACTACACCCATGTGGGAAACCCAGAAGATGTCCTTGGCTCCCAGATTGGCCCAGCTCTGGCCATAGTGGCCATTTGGAGAGTGAAGCAGTGAATGGAAAATCTGTACCTGTTTCTCCTTCTGTTTCTGTAATTTTTTTCAAGTAAAATAAAATATTTTTAAAAGCTACTGATTTTATATATTGATTTGATATTCTGAAACATTATTGAGTTAATTTATTAGTTCTAACATTTCTCTGGTGGAGAATACAGGGTTTTTTTGTATGTAAAATCATCTGATGATCCAACAGTAATAATTTGACTTCCTATTTCCCTTTTTTTGTTTTTAAATATTTTATTTTAAAATTATAATTACTTTTAAATACATTTTCTTTACTTTGGATGATGTTTACATAATTGAGAAGGATGTATACCCATGTGGACCACTGATTAGGGTAGTAAGGGCCAAGGCATGAAGGAAAGCAGGTGAGACAATTGCTTCCTTTCAACTTTTTTTCTTTGTATATTTGGGGGTAGAATGTGTTGAAGGGGAGAGGACTGCAGTCAGAAGCTTAACCTCATCAATAGCTGGGGATGGGAGATGGCCACCTGATGTCTCCCAGGGTCCCAGATGTGGAGCATGTCCCGAGAGTACTACTATAGTGGTTCGATGGTTCTGAGATGTTTTTGATCTCATTGATCCAAGGTTAAGGAAATCCTTCCAAGGACACAGCCACCCTAGTGTCTCCACTCACCCAGATACTTACGGTCAAAGCTTACTGGAAGAGTTGTTGAATTTGTTCTGTCATCCAAGGTACTCTATTTCCTTGGCAGACTTCAATGATCTGTTGTGTCCCTTGTATGCATCTGGGCATGTGTCTGCTGCAGAGATTTCAGCAACTGAGGAGGCCCACTTCTGACACATGCCTTCATGGTTAGACCACCATCCTGAGATTTTCCCTATTTTTGGGTTTTGTGGCCAGTGGTCCAGTTGAGGGAGTATCCAAAGAAACCTCACTAGAGGTGACCCCAGACCTGACTTCTGTGTGTGCCAGCTACTATGGGGTCTGCTCAGTCTGTCACCCACATCAGCCTAAACATACACTGGTGGTTGTAGTCATTTGGTCAGTTCTGTCCCTAGCGCTATCTCTTATGCAAGCCAACAGGTGCTGTGGCCCAGCCCAGCCCTGCCCACCACACACTTGGCTCTCACGCACACTAGTAGGAACTATAGTTCAGTTGGGAGCAACCCTCAGTAATCCCAGCAGGCCTGCCCCCCAGCCTCAGTTCCTGCACATGTCAGTATTTGCTGTCGACTGGTCCAGTCCACCCTGCATCCCATTTAGCTCTCATACACATCGATGGGTGCTGTAGCCTAACTCAGCCTGACAAACCCCGCTATCCAGGCTACCCACTATCCTGGGGGGTGCTGCTACCTGTCCAGCCAGTCCCAGCCCCAGTCTTGCTCTCATGCTCACTGGTGAGAGCTGCAGCCCATCATAGGAGTGCCCACATTTTCTCTACTCGGCCCACTCCTGGCCCCAGATCTTGCATCCAGGTGGTACTGTGATCTATCCAGACAGGACTTTCACTCATTCCCAGCACTTGCCAGCTAATGTTTCAGCAAAAGCTGGCCAGCCTGCGCTTACTCTGGCTCATATATGCACCAGTGGATATGGTTGCTTAACCCAACCTGGTTTTTCCCCCTCATTCAGTGATTGTAGCCTAGCCCAGCCCAGTCTGACCCCAGTCCAAGCTCACCAGTGGAAGCAGTAGCCCAGCAGGGGAACCTCCACAAGCCCTTCCTGGGCTCGTGCAACCGCCTAATGCTTATTGAATAGTATTCCACCAGTTTTGTAGGCTTTCTTCATTTCTTAATTTTTTTTTTTCTCTTTTGCATGACTGAGTTGTTTCAAAAGACCTATCTTCTGGCTCGGAGTTTCTTCTACTTGATCCAGACTACTCTTGAGGCTCTCAAGTATATTTTTTTTTTTAAAGATTTATTTTTATTATTTTTTCATTGGAAAGGCGGATATACAGAGAGGAGAGACAGAGAGGAAGATCTTCCATCCGATGATTCACTCCCCAAGTGAGCACAACGGGTCGATACTATGCCGATCCGAAGCCAGGAGCCTCTTCCGGGTCTCCCACGTGGGTGCAGGGTCCCAAAGCTTTGGGCCGTCCTCGACTGCTTTCCCAGGCCACAGGCAGGGAGCTGGAAGGGAAGCGGGGCTGCCGGGATTAGAACCAGCGCCCATATGGGATCCCGGGCGTGCAAGGTGAGGACCTTTAACCACTTGCGCCACCGCGCCGGGCCCTCAAGTATATTTTTATATTTGTTGGTTCTTTAGTTCTTTTTATGAGCTGTAGTTCTTTGGCACATTTCTTGTGCATATCAAGAATTGTCTTCCTGATTTTGTTTACATATCCATCTGTATTTCCTTTGTCTCCTTGAGATTCCTTAAAATAATTATTTTGAATTTTATTCTAGGCAGTTCATCAGTGTTCCTCTTCTCTGTAGCCTGTGGTTGTTGTTATTTGCTTTTTTCATGCTTTTTTTGTTCCAACCTTGGTGTACTTTGCAGATCAATTGTAGTTACCGTTTTATAGGGTGACTTTTGTAGTCAGAGATTATATCCTGATAATGTGTCCTAGGGTGTTGCTGGGTAATCTGTTAAAACAGACAAGGTGGGCTCTTTGTCTTTACATATTTTCAGTTTCTTTTTTTAATTCATTTTTAAATTCTTAATTTTTCTCATGATATAGTCCCATAGGCTCAGGGATTTCCCCTTCCACTCTACCCATTCTCTCTCCCCACCACTGATCTCCCCCATACTATTACAAAAGTATAATCCTTCAAGAACACCTGCAAGTCCACCATTCTATTTAAGTGTATCTTGTAGTCAAAGACAATGACAGAAAGTCTGGCATCCTGTTGTCAAGATACAGTCAGCAGTTTCATTGGGAGTCCATCCTTTCCAAAGGATGCACCCTGCAGTGTATTCTCACCTCTTGATATGCTAGTCTCCATTATACAGTTCCTCTAGATGGATATATATGCATATATGTTTACCTATACATCTATGGGGTTACCTTATATCAGAGAGAACATATAATATTTGTCTTTTTAGGACTCACTTCTTTTTTAAAAAATTTTATTTTTGATGATGTTTGCATAGTTGATGAAAGTGAGAAGAAACAGGGGTTAGGGAAAAGTGGGTGTGATCATTGTTTTCAAATTTTGTGTTTTTTTCTTCCTGTTTCTGGGGGAAGGGAGGAGATAAGGGGAGAAGCCATACTTAGCTTCCCAACGGCACCAGGATCTAAGGATGGGAAACTGCCATCAATATCAACCCAGGATCCTGATGTGGTGCATGCTCTGAGGGTTCTGCATGGGTGGTTTCTAGAGTTCTGAAATGCTGTTGATCTCATTGATTCAAGGATGAGGAATCCTTTCCAATGTCCGTTAGCTGACATGGCCTACCTTAGAGTCTCCATTTGGCCAGATATTTGCTGTCATCATTTGGCTGTCTAGTTGTCCAATTTGTTCTGTTCTCCTTCCTCTGCTATATTAGCAAATGTCCTCTGCAGACCCCAATGGGCTGCCATACCCTCCATGTGCATCCATGGATCTGTCTTTTCCATCCTATTCTACAACTAACTTTCCTCTCATGAGTACCAGTGGGTGACCAGTGGCCCAGTCTGGCACCCTCTGGACCCGGTAGGATTTGTTTCTTCAGCTATAATCAATGCTGGTGATGTCTGTAAACATATCAGTTACCTTGGCTTAAGGAACTGTATAATTCTACCATCAGCTTGTGGTTGTGGATTCAGTTTGCTAGTATCTTAGTGAGGATCTTTGCATCTATGCTCATTAGGGATATAGGACTCTAGTTTTTACATGTCATGTGTAGTTTTGGTATCAAAGTAATGTTGGTTTCATAAAAAGTTTGGCATAGTCCTACTCTGTTCAATATGTAGAAATAGTTTGAATAGTATTAAAGTTATTTCCTCCATGGATGTTTCATAGAGCTCAGTAGTAAAGCCATCAGGTCCTGGAATTTTTGATGTAAAGCTTTCTTTTTTAAAAGATTGTTTATTATTATTATTATTATTATTATTATTATTATTATTATTATTATTATTATTATTGAAGGGCAGATTTTACAGGAAGGAAAGACACAGAGAGAGGTCCTCCATCTGCTGGTTCATCCCCAATGGCTGCATTAACTGGAGTTGAGCTGATCTGAAACCAGGTGCCAGGACTTCTTTCAGGTTCCCATGTGGGTGCAGGGCCCCCAGTGACTTGAATCAGTGTCCACTGTTTTGCCAGACAACAACTAGGGATCTGGGTCAGAAATGAACAGACAGGACATGCACTGGTGCTGACATGGCATGCTGCAGCCAGAAGATCAGCCTGATATGTCACCGTGCCAGCCTACATGTAAAACTTTTGATTACTGCTTCAATCTCATTGCTTTTTATAGATCTGATTAGGTTGTCTATATATTTTTTAGATTTAATATTGGCAGGATGTTGAATCTAAATATGTATGTATTCACTCAAAATTTTCTAGTTTATTAACAGTAGTGTCTTACAATCCTTTGTATTTCTGTGCTGTCAGTTTGTAACATGTTTTGCATCTTTAATTTTATTTGAGTTTTTTTCTGATTTCTTTTTCTTTAGGTATCTAGCTAGAGGTTCAACTCTGCTTATAGTCTCAAAAATCCAACTATTTGTTGTGTTGATCTTTCATATTGTTTAGTTTCAATTTCCTTTATTTCTGTTCTGATCTTATTATGTCTTACCTTCTGATTTAAGGTTTGGTTTGTTATCACTGTTCTAAGTTCCCAATATGCACCATTAAATCTTTCAGATATTTT